CATCTATTTTCAACATTTTTTCTTCCTTCTCAGCCTTACCCAATTTGTTAAACCTTTCTCCTCCTCCTCCACCACTGCCACCCCTCCTCTCTTTGTCCAAACAGAAATATTCCTGCTGTTATCAGGCATTATGCACTATGACAGCCTCTGGATTGAGGGACCTTTTTTCCCTCTTGCTTCCTCATTGTGTTTTTATTTTCTCTTACAGTGTTTCCAGAGATTGGGTGGAGGGAGGTGGTTGGGGGACGCCTGCCTTTGACTGACAGGCGCAGCCAGTTTTTAGGCACTGATAAAGACTTCGCCCGCTTATGTTGTGAATATTTCTCCTCTTGTTTTGATCTCAAGCCTCTTTCAGTGCCATTTTGCCCACACCTTACACCTCTTTAGCCATCTCTCCATGAACTCTGCACGAACCCTTCATCAACACCAAAACAACGCCATTGTTTTGATGATGTCGCTTCACCTTTACCTAACCTTCTTCTTGCCCCTAACTTGCCCCTTGCATTCAAACAAACAGGTTTTCCCTCTCCCTGCAACATCACACTGCAACTAAGCCCCACGTATGAGTGTATTAAACATTGTGTGTGTGCGTGTGTGTTCCCTATTTGCTCTTTAGGCCTTTGCTAGCCAGCGGACTTTGGCCACTGCTTATCACAGGGAGAGGTCCTGGGATCCCTTGGTCTTCACTGCTAAAAATACACTTGCTAATGCTTGCATGCACACTCTCAGTGACACAGGGCACCCCACTATGTTTTTTGTGATGGCTAACAGAAGTTAACTGTCTGTTTTGGATGCGATTGCTTACAGAATTGATCTATAGCTTCAACAGCAGGCTATAACCCCAAGGAGCAGAATTTCAAGTACGTGCATAAGCATCAGAGCAACGATCAAACCTCTGCTGGTGAAGTAGTTTTACAAACAGTGGAAGTCATTGGGACAAAAGAGCGTTTTGATAATTGAATTCTTATCATGCATAATTGAGTGTTGTGCGACGTGTTTGCGCTGCTCTTCAAGCTACGTGAATCAAGAGTCCAATTCAGCACTCGAGTCTGTCACACATATGAGAACCTGCAAGGAGTTAATAATTTATTCCAAAACACACTCCTCATAGATGGTGCGAGAATGTGCATGTGTGTGTGTGTGTGTGTGTGTGTGTGTGAGAGAGAGAGAGAGAAACGACTGTGTTGCTGAAGCCCAGGTGTCCCGCTGGGAAAACTTGTGTCTCCCCAGAGTGACTCTCTGACCTTACCTGTGCAAACACACTTAATCCACAAGAACAACACAGACACCTTAGATTAACACTTGAACGCACACACTTGGACATTTACACACTTACAAGAATGACTGCACAAGGAAATTGCACTCGTTCATAAAAATAAGCAGTAAATATGAAAGAAAAATGTTGACTGAGCGTTTGTGTGTGTTTTTATCACATCAAAGCTTAACATACTAAAGAAATGAAACATTTTCACTAAAACTGTGATTTGCATGTGGCATTAGACACATATGTGTGAGTTTATTCTACTGGAGGCATCAGTAAAAACACCACAAATATTCCAAAAATCCAGTTTTGATCTTTCAGTGTGACATTGAATCAATCTGAATATGTTTTACTGCCAAGTTTACACTGCCAAGTAGTGCAAGGGATTTGCTTTACAATGCACATGACAATGACCATAACGGAAAGTAGAAACAAAAGCAAGCGATGTGACAATACCCAGATATGAATTTGAATAATACACAAAAACGCAAAACATGAAAAACATTTGAATTACGCAAATATCATAAAAAATGTTCTGTTTGCAGATGATGAGCTGTGGGAGGAGGTGGAAGACGTTGGAGAGAGCGGAGCTTTCATGTCAGTTTGGTTGTTTGGTTTGGAGGATTCTGCAGTTACAAAAATTCATAGCCATACCCATAAATAATCGGCAAAAGAAAGAAAGAAGGATAATGCCTCCCACATTTTCTGTCCAAACAAAAACGCCGCTGGTGAGGATGAGTCCCGATCACAATTAATTACAGGCTACACTGCATTCAAAAAGCCAACGCTGGGAAAAAAAATTTCTGAATTGTTTTCTTCCTGGAGACACTTGTTAAATTTAAACTTTGGAGGCGACATGAGGGTTTCTCAAGTGACAGCAAAGGTAGACCTAAACCTCTATTGATCTGCGCTGTCATCATTATTGTTATCTTATTACTGTGCATCAGATAAAACAAGACAAACAGCTGACGTCTTCAGGAGCAGATGCTGAACAGATGAAAGCCCTTCTGACAAACAAAAAGAAGAAGACGTTTTTTGCTAACCAAAATGTCCATGAGGAATACCGAGAATTTGAGCTGAGTGACGTCTCTGTGTGCGTTTCACTGGCCTCATATCGTTCCTCCTCCTGTGTTTTCCTGCCTTTCCATTTGAAGTGTTCTTCCTGGAGCCAGAAGTCTACCATACCCTCGGTGTGTGTGTCTGTGTGTGTGTGCGTGTTTGTGTGTGTGAGGAAGAAGGGCCAAAATAAGTCACCGACCCCCGAATGATTGAGTCGTGGCCCCAGCCAAGACGGGGACACTTTTCCTGGTGCCTGGTTCAGACACACACACACACACACACACACACACACACACACACACACACACACACACACACACACACACACACACCTTCCTCAGCAACAGTCTGCTGCTGTCCAACACATACCAGCATCTCTATCTAGTCCCTCACCCAACACCTCTTCATTCATACACACTGACAGCGAACACACACTGGGAAACACACGGTTGCACAGAATCATTGTTATAAACACACACACGCACAGTTTACACGAGCTCTGGCCTCTGTCACTGTCAGTGCTTCAGCTTGGCATATGCAAACACACCAATCAAAACACACACTGTACTCTCCAATAACAGCAGAAAAAGAATGAACGCCACTTTTTCGGTATTTTTCTAAACTTTTTACCTCACATTTTGCCTGATTATGCTGCGGCTGGAAGCAGCTTTAAAGAAGAACGACACCAACATATTTTTTGGGGGTTTTTTTTCCCGCCAACCAACCGTCAGAAATTTTCCACTTTCTTCTTCTCCTGCTCGAAACACGCGAACGGAGAAATTTCGCGTCACAAAACGAACTTCCACGCTGTGACTGGAGCTGTAAAACTCGAAGCGTCTCTTTCATGAATCGACTTTGCCGCTACTTTATGCTTTCTCAGGTTAACAGACCCATGCCCAGATATTATTAGCCAGCAATTGGTGGCTCTGTTATCAGCCTATGGTTACACATTGATGACAGTTGCCCGTTTCCACTCAGGCAATATTGCACTGTTTGCCTTGACTTTGTTCAAGAAAAAGGGGGGGGAATCGATACTAAAGTACGAAGGTTAGAGGTTATTATTCATGCTTTATGCACAGACTGATAGATCAATTGTGTTCTCATGAATATTAATAGGGTATTTTCAATTCATTACAGCGGGGCCAATTAATTCTAAGAATAAGCACTGATTTGCATACCAAACAGATAGTTTTATTGGTTCATTCATCATGAATTATTATGAATAACCACAGTTAATAATTGCTTAAACTACACATCATACAGCAGAATCCCTGGTCTCTTCAAACACACACACACACACACACACACACACACACACACACACACACACACACACACACACACACACACACACTGTAGAAGTACATAATTCAGTGAGGGGATGTCAGTGGGAAGTGGCTGCACAATGAAATGGCCTCGTGTGTTTAGGTTTACTGGTGTTGATGACAGGTATAAATCTGTCCTGGAGAGGACAACAGCCGCCGGACACTTCCGACTAAAGTAGCGCAATTCTTCATTTTGTCAAAACAAAAATAATAATAATATGAAAACACACAACAAAAGAAAAATCATTTCTGGCTGTGGAGAAGTGCTGTGACGAAAACACGAATGAATAAATGGCCCGTGGGACCCCTGCAGGTCACAGCTCATTTATTTACAGGCAATATCCCTCCGCATCTAAGTACATCTATGCCTCCTCCAACAGGTTATAGCCAGATGCATGTGCACTTTTAACTGTCGTAAATAACGGATATTAACCTTAAAAAAAAGACGCTTCGAATTACCAGAAAGAAAGTTGCTAATCGTAATTATAACACATTATTAGAACAATAACACCAATATCTCTGCCTCCAGTTTTATTTTATTTTATTTTATTTTATTGTATAGAGAGCGAGAGAGAGAAATTATCAGATGTAAAAAATATTTAATAATAGCCTATAAAATATATAAGTCAAAGCACACAGAATAATTACAGAACAAAAAAGAAGACTAAAATCGAGAATTGAAATCTGATAGATTTAAAAAACATTAAAAAAAAAGAAACACAAAGTTTAGATCTTTAGATTCCCGATTCTTCATTTCAGATAAGCGAAAAATAAATAATAAAACAGCAATTAAAAAATCGGCGTTCAATGAGTTCAGCCAGGTTTTAATTTAATAAAAAAAAGTATTTGGATATTTTGTGCTAGCGCTAAAAATGATTTTATAGCGATGTTTTAAAATCGATAAGGACAGAAAAAGAAACCGCTAGACTCCAATAAGATCCACGTGAAGCAGCGAGTCTCCAATTCCCTTGGAGACTTGAAAGTCTTTATTTATATTTATGTTTTTATTACATTAAAATGCAACATTTAAAAACAGCAACATTTAAAAAAAAAAATCACCTCTAAACAAAAGATAATAGGTCAGAAAGAAAATAGACCCCCCCAAAAAGTGCTCGGCCTTCGCCAAATCCATGTGATAGGCCTATCTGGAATCCATGAAATAAATACTGTGCAGTTTTGGAAACGTCATTAGAAAAAATGTTTGGATTTGTTTTTGGCAAAAAGAGAGAGAGAGAGAGAGAGAGAGAGAGAGAGAGAGAGAGAGAGAGAGAGAGAGAGAGAGAGAGATAGATAATGACAGCTGGATCTTGATCACAGGGTCTGTCACTCCTCCTCCACTCTTGTGTGTTCACTAATGCGTTTATTTTCACTTCTCTGAGTGTTGCGCTGTTTTGCTTGACTTGATCAGATCTGAACAAGTAGCCTGACTTAAGCCAGCTTCGCGAGCTGCTTTAAACCAGATGTTTTGCGGTAACACGCAGTAGTTCCGTGCGTAACCGCATCCACACAGCCTTCATACCTTCTACCGACGCGGATGTCCAGCTTCAAGGTGAGGATATGTACCAGGGCATAATGACAAGCAACCACGGACCCTCTTCATACGAGGCCGGATTTCTTCATAACGGCTCGGCGGGCACCTCTCCGGTTTATGTCCCCACCACCCGGGTCGTCACACCCATGATTCCTGCGCTTCCTTACCTTCAGGCGCCCGGTGCGTCGCAGCAGAGCAGCCCGGCGTCGAGCCACTCTGCGTGGGCACAGCCGGGGGCAGACTCGGTGCCCTCATACAACCACTCCCCGGTGTCTCCGCGCTTCACTTTCTCCACCAGCCCGCCTCTGTCCTCCGGGGTGGCCACGGCCCGGGAGACGGCAGTTTCTTACACAAGTCCGCTGAACATCTCCGCTAACGGTAGGGATCACTACAGCGCTCGCGGTCTGAGCGGGTCGTATCACAGCCCTTATTCGGCCTACATGAGCCCTAACGTGGGCGGAACGTGGCCGGCGTCCCCCTTCGACAGTCCGGTTCTCCACGGTCTCCAAACTGGCGCTCCTCCTGGGACAACAAGACACCCCAACATAGGTGAGGAAATAAAATACACTTTTACACAAATACAGTGTTTCAGTATTTTAAGAAGGAAAAACGCACAAATGAAATGGATTACAAAAGGGAGAACACAATTATTTGTTTAATTTAGAGATTAAAAGTTGGAATTAATAAGAGTTAATCGGCGAAACTAAAAAATATAAAAACGTGCATTAATTATTAATGGTCAATATCAATTTTGGCTCCATTTTGTTACTTTTACGCGGTTGTAAAGAGGCAGATTGTGATTTTAAAGAAAGGGTAACTGAATTTTAAAACATTAACACCATGAACAAGAATATATGTTTTTACTCATATTTACACATTTAACGTACAATTTCTGATAGTTTATAAAGATATAAAATTATATAGACTTCGGGAAAATCTTCTAAAAGTTCACGTTTTTACATTTATGCTGATCACAAATGAACATTTTCACACAACCTAAATTGAGATGCATTTGAGTGCAAATCCACACAGTTTTATATCTATAATAATTCAACAAAATTAATAATACGTTTTATAAGCCGTTTTAAATGTGTGGCACACATCTCTAAATCCCTATATATATCTATACCTAACTATATATCTATCTATGTATGTATGTATGTATGTATGTATGTATCTATCTATCTATCTATCTATCTATCTATCTATCTATACACACACACACACACACACACACACACACATATATATATATATATATATATATGAACACTCATCAGGCTCAATCCAAACACCCAAAGTTAGACTTACAATAGTTAAACATAAACAACATACAGGAAACATGCTATCTATTAGTTATGAATGAATCTGAGCAATATTATTGGTAAGATTGAAATTAGTATTTAACACAAGTGGAGTTGATAACACCATTTGCGGTTTATGAGCTGTGTTTGACTGTGGCCTTTTGGATCAGGACAGATTTTACTTGCTGGGAATCTCATCCATGCGTCACATATCATCAATCATTTATTAAAGAAGTCTTTCACGATTCTTATAGATATATATATATATATATATATATATATATATATATATATATATATATATATATATATATATATATATATATATATATATATATATATAATTTAATTATTATTTAAAAAGACATGTTAGAAGTCACTTTAAGGTGAACAGATTAATCTAATATCTGACCTTTATGTACTGGATGTGATTTTGGCCTGTAGCTGCAGCCTGCAGTGTACTCTGAACCATGGATGACGGAGATTTCACAACACATTCATTTTGCTTAGGCTGTCAGATTTTGTGTGGCTCACGTTTTGCATAGTCTGCATCACCAATAAGCACTGTGTTTGTTTAAACTGTCTTCCCCCCCTACATCTAAAGTTTCTGAACTTATGCAGAACGATGGTGGGCAACATCTTTTAATTCAAACGTGCACAACTGGCCACTTTTCCAGTTCAGTATCCTCAGAAGTAACCAGTCGTTATCGCTCATTCTTCACCACATCAGTTATTATTCACAGCTGATTAACAGCTCATTACTTCCTCATTTCTAAATATCATGTACAGTTTCCATCTGCCACATCCCCCCTCCCCACCCCCCGACCCTCAACAGTTTCATGGAGAAAAAAAAAAGCATCTCTCAAATTATCTCTAAAAAAGAGAGATAACAGCATTGATCCAAACGGAGCTCTTCATCTTATTACAATCACACTCGTCACAAAGACCCCTGTGTTCACTCTGATTTGGTTTACAAGCGTAACAGTAACACCTCACTGTTGTGCAATCTCAATAAATTCAATCAAGTCTCTGTGTTTAATTAAGAGGCTTTCAGCCGGGTGCCGAAAGCACATTGTTCTGGGGAAAGGGAAACTCCCTCATTTGTTCCGTAAAGATGGAAAAGAGGAAATAAAATCTAATCAGAATTCATTCATTAATCAACGCACAGAAATGCTCAGTGACATTTAGCTTGAATGGATGTGAGGGCACTAAACTAAAATCAGTTTTGATCTTCAAATGGAACAACTAAATTCACTTTAGTTTTGTCTTTTGAGCAAAGCTATCATGGTCGTGTTAAAATTGCAAACCATAAATATATTGATTGTAGAAAACAACAATATTGGCATTTATTAAGTGTGGGATACAATGCATGGATTTATTTATGCTTAAATTGAACAATCCTTTGCTCAAGTTTAATTAGATTGAGGGGGGGGGGGGGGGGGGGGGGATAACTTTTCAACTAAAGGACAGCATAATTCATCGATATTTCAGATTCTAATATCTATGTTATGACTCTGATAAATTCCTGGAAGTCATGAAAGCAGTTTAGGTGGAATTTGTATGAACAACATGGAAAAAAATACAAAAATTCTATTAAAGTAAAATCTAACAAAGTACCCCTAAAATCAGGTTAAATTGTAATAATTAATATGCGTTAATAAAATATTAATATAATAAAATGTATTTTACTAGGTAAAGCAAGAACAGCAAGGTAAAAAAAAGAACAAATTGAAGGCTTAAATAAGGTATCAAAAATAAACCCTGAAAGAGGTGATATTTTAATACAAATATTTTATTATTATGCATTCAGGCATGTTTAGTCTTTTCATTCTTTCACTCATGGGGCCAATTAAACAGTGTTGTTGGATAATGTTTAACAATGTGTCCTATTTCGCATGCTGGCCCCCCTTTTTTACATTTTAAAAAAATCTTTTTAAAAAAACTTTAAAATCAGAATTTAAATCAGAAAACTTGAGTGGAATACTTAGTACAGTATGTACCCTAAAATTTTGCCATTGCTGAAAATTGAACTGTTAATTTACAGCAGTACATTATTATAATTATTATTGTTTCTTATAGTAGCTAATCACGCTGTGTTGGCCAGCATGTTGAGTTAAATCACTTTTCTTAATTGAAGTTTCATTGAAATTTCAGAAAGATTTATGACTTAAATGATAATCTGATTAATTAATCTGGTTATGTTTCCCAAAATGCAAAAGTGTAAAATCCCAAGAAAATACTCAGAAAATACTCATTCTATTAAAGTTAAATCTTTTAATGTTAAAAATAAGTTTACAGATACAATCATTATCTTGCTGACTTTAGCCTTTTCCTTGTAACAGCTGACACCATGTACACTCTGTATTTCTATTTTCACTCCTGGCCTCCTAAAGCATTTGTGTCTGGGTTTTTTAACTGCACTATGATAAACGCTGACATATAAACAGTGGGCATGAAAACTTCCATTTAGATATTTCTTTTGTGTATTGTCTCATGTTGCTGCGTTGTGTTGGCTACAATTGCTGCCTCGCTCAAGGTTAGCTCGCCCTGTCGTGTCTGTTTGGCTCTCAGCCTTGAGGAGGCCTGCATGTGTGCAACTGCCTGTCCGGTTGCACAGCGCGGCGAGGGAGGAACACATGTGGGCCAGATTTACGCTATCTGAAGAAGAGCAATTATGCACAGCGAAGTGTGTGTGATTAAAACACATTAGGATTTGAACGGGACGTCCACAGTTAATACGTTGCTGTTTTCTGCTGTTTATCAAGGTGCTCTCAGACCTGACACGTATTTTAGATTACAGCTCGTGCTGGTGGTGGCATTGCTGAAATATGAAGAAGGACTAGTAGTGTTCTCACCTCTATTCCAAAGATTGATGTCTCCTATCCCAAATAGTTAAGAGGTTCTTGGGAGACACTTTGTTATGTGCCAGATGAGAGAGTGAAGATTACATTTATCACATTTATCAGATGTCCCGCTAAGTGAAAAAGAAAAAGAGAAAGAGGTATGATAGACATTTCAGTAGGACTGAGCTCTATTCCATCTTTATTTCCAGCCACCCTTTATCTCATGGGGGTGGGGGTCGGGGGGTTGCGAGCTAAGGAAGGACTCCAGGTTGCGGTTGTGTGGGCCCCTGAGTGGATCCAGCCTGCACCTCCTGCTGGTGCATGAATGCCACTGTACTGCTTGATCACTGTCAGGGTCTGAATGTACAGGAAAGCAATGGATTTTTTTTTTTTTTTTTTTTTTATCAGCCAAAAAAAAAAAAAAAAAAAAAAAAAAAAGGAAAGCAATGGATTTATATTTGCGGTATCAGAGCGGCTGGAGGTTAATTTCTCTAAGAAGTATTGTAGCATAACTGTTCCAGTAATATTTGAGTGTTACTTCAGATCATATTTTGTATTTTACTTACAAAAGGTTAGAAATGACCAGTGGCCCCATCTCAAGAAAAAGAACTTTTTGGCTTATATTTGTCATCTCTTATCAGATTTGTTTGATGACTTCGCTGAGGGCCGAGAGTGCGTGAACTGCGGAGCGATGTCAACCCCCCTCTGGAGGCGAGACGGTACCGGTCACTACCTGTGTAACGCCTGCGGGCTGTACCATAAGATGAACGGCATCAACAGACCTCTTATCAAACCCCAGAGACGGCTGGTTGGTCACCCACGATTTCATCTTCTCCTTTAGCAAGTCCTGTAAAACAGATGCTTTCATCTCTTTGCTAAATGTCACTCCACTGACGACCGACATGTTTTATCTGTGGCAGTCTGCCTCGAGGAGGGTGGGCCTGTCCTGCACCAACTGTCACACCACCACCACCACCCTGTGGCGACGAAACGCAGAGGGAGAGCCGGTCTGCAACGCCTGTGGGCTCTACATGAAACTCCACGGGGTAAGAGAGAGAACAATGGGAGAACTCTTGCACTCTTCTTCTTCTTTCGGGTGCTCCCTTTAGGGGTCGCATCCATCTCAACCTATCCCTGTATCTTCTTCTGTCACACTTCTTCCGTGGTCTTCCTGGCAGCTCCACTATCCCTCCTCTACACATGTCCAAACCATCTCAGCCTTGCCTCTCTAACTTTGTCTTAAACTTGCACATATGATGGTTTGCAAAATAAAAATTAATGCAGAACATCTAAATGAAAAGACATTAAGAAACTGCATCAAGTCAGTGATCAACTTTTCTTTAAAAACTGTTTTCCAGCCTTTTTGATTGTTTAATATATATTAATACAACCTGCGTTTTCTTTAAGGTTCTTTCTTTGTCTTTGTGTCTCGACAGGTCCCTCGACCTTTGGCTATGAAGAAAGAGGGGATCCAGACCCGCAAACGCAAACCTAAGAACCTCAATAAATCCCAAACTGGTGGGCTTCAAAAACACACTTGATTATATTTGTGTTTCTATTTAAGAGCAAGCAGGAGCAGAGCCGTAAATGTCGTTTCTCCCCTGTGTTCTACATTAGAGTGATAATTTTCTGCTGTCACCTGTTGTCCTTTGTACTTTCAAACCGAAGAAATAAACGTTTTTAGATTTATCAGTGCAAATGTGATACAGGTTTACGTATCAAGGATGGATCACATGTGTACAACACCTGTAACCTCACCTGTGCTGTACCCTGCAGGGACACCAGGCAATGAGGGGGCTCCGATTACACCCAGCAGCACTCCCCGCGCCTCCACCACCTCCACCACTACCACCACTGCAGAGGAGACTCGCCAGATAAAGACGGAGCCAGAAAATCACAGCTTGTACACACATCACAGCTCACATGCACAGGTGAGACACCTCAATGGCGAAATCTCGAAGGACATTAAGAAATTTACGATAAACTCAGATTTTTGGTAGACATTAGTGTAAAAATCAATGCCTCCCTAACCACGTGTCACTCAGAGGTAGTGGGAAGTGAACAGAAAGATGGCAAAAATTCCACTTCTCATCACCTTCTCCATTATCTCTCCAGATTTCTGCTTTGCCAGCCTACATGGCAACTCAAGGAGGCCCCATTCCCCTGAAGATGTCCCCTGGGGGGCACAACGGGTCCTCTGGCTCCAAAGCTGAACCCTGGAACAGCCTAATCCTGGCTTAGAAAAAACCTACAACCCAACATCTCAAAAACCTACCTAACCACAGAATACCTATTAAAGTCTCCTGACAGACTCTGGGTTCAGACCATCTGTTTCCTGCCCGCTGTGCAGCGTTGTCAGTGCAGGAACAGAAATCTGGGAGCTACTACAGAAGAAACGAGGCCTTACAGTGCTGCACACACTGTGTGTGAACTCAGAGCAAACAAGGACTTGAATGGACTTTGTTATAGAAATCTGAAAGAAGAGCAGTGACTAGATTCACTCAGTAACACGACAGAAAACTTTTCGTCACCCTCCTCGACAGATAAATACTGTAACATAATACATGACAATAATAGTTATAGTCATTTTTTTTAAAATAACTTTTTTTTTTATTTGCATATGATTGTGGATATTTTGCCAAAAAGGAAAAACATTAAAATACACAAAAAATGTTTAAAAAGAAAATCACAATTTTTAAACTTAATGTAAAAAGTTGCACCACCAGGTTTACAGAAAGTGTATTTAAAGGCCAGCTCAGATACATGTATATAAAAGAACCAGAAATATAGTAGAGTTGATCACTTTCCACTGGTTGTATCAAGGCAATTCAACAATAGACTTTCCACACATTTTTCTTCATGGTGCTTAAAGCTTTGATTTTTTTTTTTTTTAACTGTGTGGGATAAAATCTTCCCTTGGATTCATCCAAAGAAACTGGCACGCTGTTTAGGGGAAAGTACAGTGCCTTTTAGGGTTTGCAGGTTTAATTAAACGAGTACTTTTTTGTAGTTCAGTTGTAATGTAATAAGATTGCAGCAGACGCAAACTATTAAGTGTTTCTATGCAGGTTAAATTCAGCAAACTGAAACAATGAGCGATCTGTTATACTCTTTTCAAACTGCAATAGAAGGTAAAGCAAATATAAAACAGGTTATATAGAGTGTCCCAGGGATCCACGGCAGTGGGCCATCCTGCACAACAGTATGTTTTGTCATTGGCAGATCGGTATTTCTGCTGACAAGAATCTGCAGTTAAAAGGCAACTGTGTAATTAGCCCATCTAACCTTTGAATGACTATTCCCCCCTAAACTTACTTTATGGGATCCACCACTCCCCAGTGCCAGTTATCCGATCGCTACACGATCTACTACTCAGTGCAATAATAACAGCTCCTTATCACTTTCTTCCATTCAAAGTATGAAAAATACACGTCAGTATTGGCATCTCTTACAACACATGATAAACTACCTGCGCAGGAAGAGTGCACGTGATGATTGTGATGTGGAGGCCACATAGCTCCCCCTGCTGACAGATGCACAGGCATGCAACCACTGGACTTTAATTAAAAGGTTTAGCGCCAAACCACATCATTATCATCACCGTCATCATCGGATTACCATCTACTATATAAGGACTGACCAATAAGCTGTAAAGGATTAACTGTACAGTATGTTAGCATTACTTCAATTTGCTTTCTAAAAGCATGGAGGCAACCATTGTAAATGTAGGATATTGCTACTGCTTCTATGTAAAAACTCCACTCCAGTATGATCTGTGACATATTGTAGACAAAGACACTAATAAAGACACAGCATTTTGACATAATGCAAACAGTATGCAAAGGTGGTGGAATTCATTCTGTTTCTAATGACAGTGTCTTACAATAACTTCATCTTCTTCTCAAAAGCACGTGGAGCCTTTGAGTCCTCTTAATTTCCCAATTTGTAAAAATTGCTCTGTGATGTTCACGGTGTTTTTGGTAAAAAGCTGAAGGGCACAGTGGTTAAAGTCCTCAGTCAACTTTTCTCTGATGACCTCTGCACACTTGTCCTGTACCAAGTCCCTCCAACACTGCTGAAACGCAAGTCTCATTATATCCTCGAGGCCAGCATCACATGCTTGTGAGCTAAATGTGTAACCAAGTGCAAAAACACGCCCTCTTTCTAAATATTCCTGGAGACTTTCGGTACTCATCGAAAGCAGAACTTCTGCAGAGTCGATCAGTGCCTTCACCCTCTGCGTCAGGATTTTTTTTCTTCTCATGCGCTGGTTTGCTTTCAAATATAGAACGCATGCTTTTAAAATAAGTCTTCCTGTCCTGCTTCTGCATGGTGGCTGCAAAGTGGATGTTTTCTTGTTGAGGCCCCAGCAAGCGCTTAAGAAGAGAAAACACAGTTTCACACAAAAGATTAAGATCGGTGCTCATTTCAGCTGCTTTAACATAACTCTCATAGTCCACAGTTTGATTTAGGCACTCCACCTGTTTGTAGTTAACACCCTGAAACAGATTTTCTCTGGTTCCTCTAAAGCCCAAGCACTTCATATGGCCAATATGAGTCTTCACTCCAAGTGCATTCCACCTCTCCAGAGCCTTATGAACCAAGTTCAGCATGCACGGGTTGGCATATCTTGCCAAACTTGGGCTGTTCACAGTGAAGATGTAGCCCTTTATGTCTTCAGAGAAACTCTCTGACTCCAGAAGTTCCTGGGTTTGGCTGATAACGAGGTCCTCACTATGTTCTCTATAGTTAGGATAATAAGGCCCGTACATGATAATCTCCTCCTGTCTTTCAATCACTGCCCAAGAATGCTGTTTGTCGTCTTCACAGCATTCATCAGTGATGTCGTGGTGAAACTAAAAAATTACTGTTCACTGAGTCATTGAGGAAAAAATGATTTGTGGCTCGATTAAATTTTAGATACTCCAAAACTTTCATCCCAGATTGCTGTGCGTTAGCCCAGGATGATGTCAGCTCCAAGAGGAGATTGGTCCTTCTAGTTGCACAGGCTTCACGTGTCCAGGGGTGACCACAGCTTGTCCTGTGATGCAAATATATCCATTATTAATGAATTTCACACAAAAGCCGGACAATGAGCACGGTGGCACGGTGGTTAGTACTGTTGCCGCACAGCAAGAAGGTCCTGAGTTCAATTCCACCATCAGGCCGGGGTCTTTCTGTGTGGAGTTTGCATGTTCTCCCCGTGTTTGCGTGGGTTCCCTCTGGGTACTCCGGCTTCCTCCCACCGTCCAAAGACATGCAGCTTGTGGGAATAGGTTAATTGGATAATCCAAATTGTCACTAGGTGTGAATGTGCGAATGAATGTGAGTGCGAATGGTTGTCTGTCCCTGTGTGTTAGCCCTGCGACAGACTGGCGACCTGTCCAGGGTGTACCCCGCCTCTCGCCCTATGACAGCTGGGATAGGCTCCAGCGACCCCCGCGACCCTGAAAAGGATAAGCGGAAGCGAATGGATGGATGGATGGAGCCGGACAATGACGATGTTAAACCTCGGTTCTTTTAAGGACATCTGTAGTTTTATGGGAACTGTGTCTGGTACTGATGAAGAGCTAAAACTTGTTGGACACTTGCTGTGTGAATGGCAAAGAAAAGTGATTTAAGTGACCTGGTTCAGGGACATGAGATGGTTGTTGATGCCAAAAGAGCTCAGCCGAATATTTCAGAAACTGCTGCTGGGATTTTCCCACACAAAAATCTCCAATGTTTACAGTGAACAGTCAGAAAAAGAGAAAATAGTTGTGTGAAAAAGTCTTGTTGATGTCAGAGGTCAGAGGAGAACGGCCAGACTGCGCTGAGTTGATAGGAAGGCAACAGTAAATCATATAAGTGATTGCTACAACCAGCATATGCAGAAGTGCATCCTTGAACGCACAGCACCTTGAAACAGATGGGCTTCATCAGCAGCAGAAGACCACACCAGGTTCCACTCCTGTCAGCTAAGAACAAGAAACCGAGTCCACATTTCACACCTGCTCACCGAAACTGCACAACAGAAGATTTGAAACATGTTGCCTGGTTTGCGGACTCTCCGTTTCTGCTGCAACATTCAGATAGTAGGATAAGAATTCCGGACTACACGGACGCATGGATCACTCGCACCTTGTATCAATGGTTCAGGGTGGTGCTGATGGTGCGGGCAAATATTTTACTGACACAGTTTGGGCCCCTTTGTACCAATTTAGCAACATTTAAAAGCCACAGACTGCCTGAATTTTGTTGTTGACCATTACCATCCCTTTAAGCCCACAGTGTACTGATCTTGTGATGGCTGCTTGCAGCAGGATAACACACTGGATACGTTTTTATCAAACTGTACCAGCTATAGCTGATATTGTTGGATGAACCGACCTGTATTATGTGGTCACATTTCTTCTTTTTTATATATAGATTTAGTAGTTAACTAAACAGACACTACTTGACTCAATAACTCTTCATTTCCCGCAGGTAACATATTATTGAACTACTTGTGTGACTACATTTGGTTCACTATTGCCTAAAACAAAACAAATACACACAACAATTTGTGATCGTCTTGTTACAACACCTGGAAACTATTTCACATTGGAAAATCCATCCAGTCTTCTCACCTCAGCCAAACTTATAACCCTTCTTTGCCAGGCTCTGTCTTAATTTAGGATCTCCAGACAGAAAAAGCCTCATAACCTGATCTATTGCACTACATTTTTTCAGCCAGGCTGTCATTTGTCAGTACGTAGCTCCTCCTTCCAGTAATACTCAGGCCTTTGTGGCTATGACCTAAACATTGCTGAAGAGCTGCTTCTTTTATTAAACATCAGCCCTCAGGAGTCTTTCCTCATAAAAGGACAGAGTTATTTATGAAGTCTGCTCCCATCTATGATATATTTCAGTTAAAACAGCTGTGTGGTGCTTTTCACTGTGTAATTTTAAACAACGCTGACATATTTTGTATTTGTATTTTTAATCTGTCTTCTAGGTGTTTTCCTTCCTGTGGTTTCAGTTGACGGAGGTAAGCGAGTAGAGGCAACTTGTCTTGGCAACTTGATTTTTTTTAGAACTAATTTGCATATGTGCTCTTTTATGTGTGGTGCTTTTCTAACTGTGTTTCAGAAGACATTTTTTAAAATATTCAATCAATCAGTCAATCAATTAATTTATTTATAAGCACTTTCAAAAACAACACAGGTTGACCAAAGTGCTGGACATAGTAAAAAAGGAAAAAGTAGATCAAACACACAAAAAGAACAAAACAAAACTCTGTCAAAATTAAAAGCTACAGAGTAAAAATGTGTTTTCAAACGGGTTTTAAAAATGTCAAGTGTTTGAGAGATCCTAATTTCAAGATTCAGACTGGCCCAAAGTTTAGGTGCAGCAATCACAGAGGCCTGGTCTCCTCTGTTTTTTAGCCTGCTTCTAGGGACAACTAGAAGCAACTTATCAGCTGACATGAGTTCTATTAGGAGTATTTTTAGTTAACAGATCATAGAGGTATGACGGAGCTAATCCATTTAGAGATTCAAAAAACAAACAATAAAATCTTAAAATCAATTCTACAACGTATTGGAAGCCAGTGTAAATGAGCCAAGACTGGGGAAATATGCTCATGTTGAGCGCCTGTCAAGATTATTCATTTAATTTTGGGGGGATTTTTTCTTTCTTTTTTTGCTGATAGATTTTGGCCTTCACTCTTAGTACTCAGCTATCAGGCCGCTCATACAACTTGTTAGTTTTAAAGCTTCCGAGTTTAATGGAAGAAAGTATTTTTTGCAAAATCCAAAGCTTAAAAAAAATCGAGGAAGAGAGTAAGTAAAGTAAAAAGTCCTTTCCTGGTTCTGTCTTAGATCATCAAGGTCAGTAAACTCATATGGTGCATGTTGCCACAGCCAGAGGTGCCAGACTGCAGCGTTCTCATTCAAGAAATCTGTGTATCTTCATTTGAGACGTAACGTTTAAGATCTGACACATTTCAAACTGTCAAAGGAAACTTTATTGTCATCCCAGTTGTATATAAGTATACAGAGAGATGAAATTGTGAAGCTTAGGGTCCACAGCTTAAACATACACATTATGCAAGTAGAACAAGACAAGAACAGTGCAAGTATGACATACAAAAACTCAAATTACAGGTAACTTGGTAATATGGCTACAAAAGCTGTTTGTCTTGTTGTATATTTTTCACATTAAATTGAATTCCTCTCACACTGACTGCATATCTTGTCTTGTAATAGATGTAATGAATTGATTGTCATCTTAAGAATTTTTAAGAAAGCAAGAGAAACTATGGCTCCAGTCCATATATAGGCCCCAGTGTTCACCCATACAGGTGACATCTCCCTTAGAAAGTGTTAAACCTACTTATTTTGTGTCACACTCCAGCAGTTTTCCAGTTTTGCAAAGAGGAAGTAACCATGAACATCAGCGGTTGCTGCATCTCTTTACACTCTGGAACACAGCAGAGCTAGGGCAGGTGGGATTAATATTGGTAATAACATTCAGACATTTTTGGCTTGCCTGGAGATTTCGCTCCTCCGTACATGGTACATTTTGGATAAGTCGGTATTTAGTCGAGTCTACAATTAGCTCAGCTGACACCTTTCTACATAATTCTGGTCATGTAGGGGATTTAATTCATACCGCCTGAATTATCCTGTCATAGACAAAGAGACTCTGGCCCTTGTGTGAGCAGTGCAACATTGAGAAGTTTGTGTGTTCCTCTTGTGGTCTACACAGCGCACAGCCCTCTAATTTTTCTTCTGCTCATTGAGTTCCCCAAACTGCAGACTGATGTGTCGATTTCTCACCTTCCTCCGCACGGTCCAGCATCGCATTAGTGTTTT